ACTCGGTTCTTTACGGTGCAGGAGTTGAGAACAACTGCAGCAGAAAAATATGGGAAAAAATGACCTGTGAGAAAAGAGCTATATTGCCTGAATTGTCGCATGCTGTCAGAAAAGCATCAAATTAGAATTTTCAGAGTAAACATTTTAGGTCTAGCGCTATACGCTTTTGTCATTCCAACTGTCAAAATCGAGACTTTTCAAAACCAGAGTGTTATTATGCACTGGCACCCCTGGTGCGGACAATTAATTATTATAGATTATAATCGTTATCAGAAAGAACTTTCTCTACAACTCAATCTGATATGCACAATCGCTTTTTCTACGTTCGAGGACGGGTGATCCGGAACTGTGGACTGTGGGAAACTCGTTTCTAACGAATGCTGACAATTTTGTAAATGGAACTTTGACCCATGCCGAAACTGAAAGGTAAGTCATCATAAAATTTCAACTTTCTAGTCTGACTGAATTCTTATAAAAAAGGATGCCAAACATTTTACGTATTGAATATTTGATGTGCCCGAAGTCAGGTGCGTGCAACTTACACTAACGAAACCGGAAACAGACAGAGGACATCCGCATATAAACATATTTTCCTATCCGGCTCGGTTACTCTCCCAACTTGAATTTTCACTTGTGCGTGTACCAAAACTGGAGGACCTTGAATTTAAATTCTTTAAGTTACACAATAGAAGATGACGGGCTAGTAAAATTTCAGCTAAACCTGACTGATTTTCGAAAACCCTCCCCACCATTTCCTAAATCCTTTCCGCGTGCGCACAAGTTAAGCACATGTGAAAGCTAAATTAGAAACCACTGAGTCACACACGGACGCACACACGCACAAGTAAAACACACACACACATACGTACATACACATTCCGGCAAAATAAGATTTTAATTTCATCTGTGACGGAAAAACGCATCAAAAGCAGCTCTTCGAACTTATTTTCGTGCGAAGTCGCCCAGGAATGTCATATACTTGTAATAAGTACCATAACTCACCTGGCATCAGCGGAATCAGCCGACTGAGCAGCAGCGCGTGTTGTTGCTAATAAATCGCAGACAGACTGTCGAGCGAGATTAGCTGCCGCAATGATATCGCTTTGCTGTAATGTTTGTGCTGCAGCTGCTGCACGAGCGGTTGCTGCAGTCAGCTGCTTTGTTGATCGAATAACATCTTCGGCACTCGCTGCACCTAAACAACAGACAGTCGAGAGGAATTTAGGAGAACAAATCCAAAGGCCCAAGAAGAGAGACCTGCCAAGTACAAGGAGACCTCTCCCCCTCCCCCACCTCACTGATCCACGACTATTCATCCTCACTTATCCGATGCCTTACAAACACATACACACACACACACACTTGCTCGGCTACCTTTGCTTCTTCCTCATAAATATTTTTACAAATTATAATTATGATGAAGAGAGTGGGCAGGAAAAGAGAAGAAACTTG